GTGTGTGTGTGTGAGAGAGTGTGAGAGAGACGGTACCATTTGAGTTTCCACATTCCTCATTGTACATCCCAGTATTAGTGAAGAGGGCGAAAACCAGGAGGGAGAACAAGATCATCAGCACCTCCAGCTCAGTGAATGGAGAAGCCATCCGAACAAGCGTCCACCGCCACAGCTGCGTACATGTTGACAGTAAATGTTTCATCTGTCTTCACCTGATTTAAAACTCATTTGACATCCCCTCCCATCACACACAAAATGAAACACAATTCGGATTAGATACTTACCCTTGATGTACAGGCGCACTGAGAGGTTGACCAACACACACACACACACACACACACACTCTGTATATGTGTGTGTAACACTTAGAATTCCTGTGAAGAGCTGACTCACATGTCCCCTCTCAAGTTCAGGTGAGATCGTATTAACCCTCATTATTAATGGCTCCTGTGCCTCTGTCTTTCGGTTTTTAACAGTAGAAATGCCCCAGGTAAAATGAACGTATATATGCAGTGGTCTAGATGGCGAAGTGTTTGCCTTTACCATGTTCTGAAACTGAAACCCTGTGGAAGATTAAGATCAGGTGGTTTTCTAATGTTCTTTTGGGGGAAGATGAGAGAAACTTGTGATGTTGTAGCTTTCCTGTTAAACAAACATGTCTGTCTGTTGTCTCTATCCCCTACTCATCTTCGATGGTGACATACTAACACAGACGCAAATCTGTAAACTTCTCCAGTTCAAATGTAATTTTGCAAAATTCTAGATCGGAGAGAAGTTTGGAACAACCAAAACTCTCCTAAGAGGTGAAAGGTGGCGCAGGATATCAATTTGCCCTGTGCAGGTGGGTGGAGAAGTTTTATTTATTTTACCATACTAGTTGTTTGACTATTACCTCGGTCAGTTTAATGATCATTTAAAGTCGCCCATTTTCCAGTTATGTCAATCATAATCCCTGTGGCCTGAGATGATTTGAAATAGGATTACACACACACACACTGACACACACATTCTGTGAAGACACTGGCATGTTTGCATATGATCTCTTTAGATTTTAACTTCACAGTCAGTCAGATGATCAATTTGCCTACATGCTTTCAGCACATTTTTGATTATTTGATGAATACAGTGTGTGTGTATGCGCTGTCCACGTGCACAAGTTGTGTAAGATTATTAGCAGCAGAGGAGGAGATTGAGGTTAGTCTAAGCCCTAATCCTCATGGACTGTATGCTTGTTACCCAGCAAGCACGACAAAGTCCTGGCCCCGCCCCTTCAAGAAACACACACACACACACACACACACACACACACACACACACACACACACACACACACACACACACACACCTCGACAACACAAGCTTTCCCTTCCTCCTTGCTTACTGCTCAGCTTCCATCTCAACTCTTCCTCTCTCCAGCTCTCTCAGCAGGAGGGGGAGGTGGTGGTGTGCTCTGTTGAGGAGTTTCCTTGTCGTCATGACGACCTCACACCCCACCATCTCCAGATCTGTCTTCCTGTTGCCACGGTGACCTGATCCTGTTCCAGCTCCGCTTCTCTTAATGATCCTGATTGGGGCTCAGATAGGAGAGCGACCCTGGAGCGCGCCGTCTTCTCCGCCCTGAAAACAGCTTGTGGATGGGACAGCGAGTCACATACTGGGACGAGGATCTAAGGACAGGAAGGTGCGACGCACCGGGAATGCTGTGGAAGTAACGCCGGAGTGTTGCCTGGAAACAGCAGCATGCCAGTACAGCAGATAACTGTGGTGCCGGCCAGGGAGACGGCCAACAACGGCAAGAGTGCTTCTCGCTCCAAAGACAAAAACGAGGTGAGTTTTTTAAAATTTTAAATGTGTTGTCAAACCTCTGAGTTGGAAAAAAAAAACCTTAGGAGTTGAGGCTTAAAACTAATGGTAATTTATTTATTTGGTCTGAAGGCAGAAGTCGTTAGATTTGTCCCCAAGAAATGATCTTGATGGACTCTGTGTGTGTGTGTGTGATAAATCAGGTCTGTAGGGATGTTCACAGCAATTCGATGGGTAAAGGTCAACGTGACCTCACAAAACACGTTGGTTATTTTTACTCATCGTGAAAAATGTCACATCTATTATGATAAACTGATGAAGTGATGACATTTGTATCTAAAAATATCAAAGGTCAATGTTCTGCAGAAATAATTTTCTGGCCATTTAATGAAATCAATATTGTGAAAACTTTCAGTTCACCATAAAAACCCACACAATACCTTTTATTAACAATAGTCTGGACAGACACTGACGTCAACTGTAACTTGACTGGTTGCATGTTATGCATTTTAGGTTATCAGATCATTAGGCCATGAGGATTAACACAGACTGCATGTTTAACACGCACACTTCTTGTAGCAGGACTGTTTGGTTACACCACTACAATTATCTACTGATGACAACCAGTGTAGACACAGGTTATCATCATATTTTGGCCAATTGACTTCACATCAATTATAATTTACATTACATTTTTGAAATGTGAGAATGTTTTCTACTGATCAAGGAATCCATCAGTTTTTATTCATATCCAAAAGGTATAAATAACAATCAGAAGCATTGTCTGGTAACAAAGAGTCCAAATCTGGTCCACGCTCAATCTCAAAACATGCGTTGAAAGACATGTTTGCTTGAAACTGTGTTGCAATGGGCTTTGACATACATTTTGTCTCGTTTGGTGGGTGTGTCAGTGGTGCCCAATCAGCAATGGCTTTATGCAGACGTATTAAAGAACACAGTGCACGTAATGGATTCAAAAGTTCTCTCCAAACACTTAACCCTTAAGTCCTTAAAAGCACAGATTGTGTAAAACATGTCTTCAGCAACGCTACATCACTTAATCGTCTCTGCTCAAACATGCACATGTCCACACACTGACTCACCAAAGTCTCGGCTGAGCACCAGAGTCACAGTGTAGGCAGAAGAAGAGAGGCTCAGGTAGGTGACCATCAGATGTTAGCTGAGGCGTATACACGGCCCTGGTCCAACAACTGCTTATTTTACGATAATCTTTGGATGTTTCATGTCTGTGTAATTCTTTCTGGAAGTGTTTCGTTGCATCTTTGACCTGTGATGCTGCTATTTCGCAATAGTCTGGATGTTAAATTGCGGCGTCTGCGCTCCTCGTGAGGTGAGGACTGATGCTATAGATTTATGGAAACGAGAACCAGTTGTGTTTTGTGTGAGTTTATTCTGATATTAAGAAATGGTCCATTAATACGTTCTTGGGAATAGAACTCTAGTTTACTTTTATAGTCTTTGTGGATGCAAAGAGTGGCAGAGAGATGTAGCTGTGCATGATCTTTACATCTGAATATCGAGTCCACCAGTCGGTCATCTAAAACATGCCGGTCTTACTGGATAAACTGTATTTAGTTGTGAAGCTTATTATCGAGAATATTGCTGTAACTATGATCTCTGGACTCCAGATGTGTTTATCCAATGTGGCAAACTACCATTATGTCACCTATTGGTTTATGAATGTCTGTTTTGAAACCTGCGAGTTTGGCATTTGGTCCAGCGCCTTATTGGTTTTATGACCAGATGTGACCATATTTGGTGGAGGTGGGGTTGAGCCTGACTGAGAGCTCAAGGACGCTGCACACCCACTCCTGCAACCTGCACCCATTGGATATGTCAGTTTACTAGTTAGTTCAGGGATGTGATCTAGGTCAGGAAAGAACTGTTCCATTTCGGTGCAGATTCAGGAATTTGTTTCACCAGATGGTGAAGTTTTCGATATTTTTTAAAATTCATGGATCTTGGTGAAAAACTCAGACTTGTTTAATGAACTGATATTTGATATGTGCTCTCTTGGGTTTTAGTTCAGTAGTGGTTTACTATTGATTTTGTAATCATGTTATGAGACTTTGGTACGGTATCTCACCTAGAGACATGTCTCCTTCTATAAATAAATTATGACAATTTAATGGTATCTATTACTCTGGCTATGATTTGTCCTGCGAGGTAAGACACTTGAGGTCACAGGTACGTGTCTCCAGAGGAGGCTGCTGAGTGTTTGCTCTGAATCCACGAAAGGACTACTGATTTAAACCTGGCCATCAGCAAATCCCTTGATCAGCTTAGATGATGCAGTCTACTTGTCGGCGTCTTTCTTATTAAATTAATCGATTTGCACACAGTGGCTCCACAACTGTCTGTGTGTGGGTTGATTTGTGCGAGCTCCGTTTTGCTTTTTATATGTCAAGTCTAAAAAAATATATAAATAAGTCGCCCACGTGAGATTCCAAACAGCACAAAAAGCTGTGAGATGAATAACTCATAACATTGAAAGTTCCCACCTTCATACTGTTACACCTAAAATACTGTACAATATATAGACTACTGTGTTTACTGTTTCCTGTGTTTGTTCTATGCCATGTAGGACATGGAGCTGTGCAGTTATCTAACAAATATATACAAATGAACACCATAAATAAATCCTATTAACACTTACTGTTTGTGTAGCCAGAGTGTGATGTACTATATCTCACTGTCTGTGGCATTAAACTGACTAGAAATAATGAGAATCCCATCGGTGAGCCACGCTGTGCTTTAAATAGCCTGTGCATGAATGTGAGTGTGAATATCTGTATGTCAGCCCTGTGTCCCGCCTCTCCCTCAATGTCAGCTCGGCCATGGCCCCTCAAAGGATGAGCAGTAAAGATGATGGATGGATGGAGCCACACTGTTTCTTCACTATGATGAATGTGTTTTTGTAAAATTTTGAATCCATCCTATACATTCACCCTCTTACTGCCTTAAATACACAATAACTCCCAGCTGAAAGTACAGTAGTTTCTATTCTTGCTGAAGCAACATTTGCTTAATAATTACATATTCTCTCTTAACCAGGATATGCTTCAATTCATTTTCCACTGCCAACTCACTACAACACTGTTGGAAGGTTAGACTGCTCTGTGTGTGTGTGTGTGCACGTGTGTGTGCGCATGCTGGGACCCAATTTTCACACATAACACATATCCACAGTAAAGGCAGCAGAGATGTGCTGGATATATTGCAGCGATAACAAATGTGTGACCGGTGATGAGAGGAAAATGGAAGCGGTGATAGCAGACTGACCAAGAGTCTTTTTGTAGATCGCTTCAAATATGTTCATCGTTGTGATTCTGTTAGCAGGATTACACAAAAACGACTCAAATGATTTTCTTGAAATTTGGCCAAGAAAGCACCCATTAATGTTGAGAGTGGATTTGATGAAGGGTGCGGATCCAGGGCTCCAACGTCTGTTTGACATTCAGGGGACTGATAGTTATAAGTGTGAGCGATTTAGTGCAGCAGATGATTGAATTTAAGGGAGATATGCTCAGACTCTACTGAGTGCCATTCTATTTTTCTGAGGTTTTAGGGCCAATTAAATGACCAGAAATGAGGATTATTATTGACATTGAGATATAAAATGACATATATAATGATATAGGTTTCCTTCATATTGCTCCAATGCAAGCTGACCAGGTTTACAAGTGTGTTAGTGTCTTTAAATAACCTGGAAAACACGATTCAAGCATGTTTTCATGATGGTTTAACCGTGTTTGTACCTGGAAACTCCCACATGCCACCACAACTTGTGCAAAACACTCCACTTACACTGAATGAGGCCACGGATGTCTGACAACTGAGTTCAAGGTCTGGCAGTTGAGTTCATACCATCGTTGCAGTGGGTAGTTCTAGAAAAAGTGCTTTAAGTTGACTTAAAATAGAGACACATTGCAGAGCAGCATCTTGTGCACTTAGCGGGACAACCAGGTAATAGGATTGGCTGGCTTTAGCTCGGGTCACAATGAAATTACAAGGACACGTGGCTGCACATGACTCCTAACGCTAGTTTCCACCAGTCAACACAGAAGCAGACAACACTGAACACTGTGAAATACTTTTGTTTTGATGGAGTTCAGGATTCTGCTTGTCCAATTATACATTTCACTACTTTAACAACAGAAAACCTATGAAATGTTTCCAGTTTTCACCCTTTTTAATTTTTTGGGTGGGGGGAGTCTTTTGTAAAATCAACTGAAAACAGAGTTTGCAAAAAAATTGGTAGTTTCCAATGTTGAAATCATCAGAAATATGTAACTGACATTGTATTAGAGCTGAAACATAGTCGATTGACAACAAAGTGGATAACTAGCTGCTCTTATATGACGATGAACTGCTTTTCTGTGTTTTGTTATTTCAAATCAAGTCACTGAAAGAACGTTTGATGTATATTTTTAACATTTTATGGACTGAATTATTAATCAGTGGCCAAAAGGAATCATCTGCATGTAACTAGAGCAGATCAAACTAAAACGCTAAAGTGAGACGATACTTCACTGAGTCCTCTAACGATTTTCCATCTCTCACTCTCTCCCTGCAGGGAAGGAAAGCCCCCGGGCGCTCAGGGAGTCGATCCAGCAACATCTCCAAGGTAACCACTGATTATCAGGCAGCTTCAAGGGACAAAATCAGGGTCACAGTTCATAGTGTTTGTCGTAGCAGCATTTATACAAGATGAATCTGATGTGCAAGAATGAGCTGATGCTGGATCTGTTACTAACCAGTTAATTAAAGATTGCATTCAGTGCGCTGTTGTATGACTCATGAGTCACAACAATATTCTTGAAGCTCCAATAATTCATATTTTTCATAATCTCTATGAAAATGTAATATTTAAGAGTAACTTATATTAATCAAAAGGGTGTTTTCTGGGTGCACATACCACCACCAAGGCTTATTGGCCACTTTATCACCATATTGCTATGTAATGTATTGAGATGTCCAACATTCCTGGATCTGCCTGTTTATCCGAACAATGTGCATGGAAATCAGTTCCGTAGTTTTTGAGTCATCCTGCTGAGAGACAGACAGACAGACAGAGGAAAACGCAATCTCCTTTGTGGAGGAAACAAACCCGCAGAGAATCATCATCACCTGTAGGTCAACACGTGAGCTGAGTCTTATGAGTCTCAGTTTAGTTTCAGGCAGAAAAGCTCAGATAAACCTGTAAAAAACAGCTGAAGTCAAATCAAACCAGGGCAAAGGAAACAACCGGCTGGCGAGGAAAGTTGAACAGATGGTAAATGATTCGGCTGCTCAGATCTAAAAGGAAAAGCAGCAGAAACAGTTAAGATAAATGTTAGTGTGGACGGGTAGGTATGCAACAACTTGCCAACGTGTTCGTCAAATTAACTTCATAATGCCCTGGGTGTGCTGCACTGTATCTGTCAGCTTCTCTTTTAGCCTGTTGTATAACGTTAACATAATCTTATCTTATTTTGAAAGTGTGTACAGATCTCAGTCTTTAGCATTGGTTTCCTAGAATTTGACATGACTTGCTATGTTTCTTGTTTTCCCATTGATATATTTAGTTTTAACATGTTTGAAATAAATAAATGAATTCAATAAAAAAGTTAATCTGACATAGAGCTAATCTGAGTCTGGTGGTTGTTGCAGGCCAGCAACTCTACAACAGGACTCGGCGCAACCCCAAAGACATCAATCAGCCCGTCTTCTCAGGACATATGCAGGTAAGACACGTCTCAGAAAACAACAATGATTTGTTTTGTGTCCAGGGATTATCTGCAAACACAAGCAGCTCTGTAAGTCCAGGCACCAGAGCAGCAACAGTCTTCTCATTGACATTCGCATGCACTCTTCTCCTCCACTGAGTGGGAGAATAAATTAATATGGTCTGCTGCACCCCGAGGGCATAACAAAATTTAAATGGATACTGAAATCCAATGATGCTCCCGTAGTCGATGAGAGGAAGATGTCTCATAGCAGAAATGGGATCCTTTAGCTTATTATTATATCCAGTGCTGATGTGCTGGACCCGCTGTCAGGCTGAGAGGACACAGTGTTCGTCAGAGATGTATGTGACTGCTTGGATTTCCATTTATCACATGTTGAGTCATTCAAAAGACATCGTTTCATTTTTTCGGTTTCTGTGGTCTGATTTAAGACTTCACTGCCATTTGGTTTTCTCTTTTCTATTCACCCCGATGTGATGCAGTCATCAGCTGCTGTTGTTGTTTTTGTCCCCAACCAGTCATAAATCGCAAATTCATCCCACAGGTATCAGTTTTAGTTGACACCATGATATATACTTCTTTTAAATACCGAAACATTTAAAATAATTTAAGAGTCGATGACTTAGGTGTTGAGTCAGCATTGGTTTTGTTTAGCTTCTTCCCACAGTCAAAAGATGTGAAACTGAAAATTGGCTCTCACCGAATATTAGCAGGGGTAGACTCCACCCTCCCTGCAACCCTCAAAGGATAAACGGAATAAATGATGGATAGAACTGGCGCCAATCCGTAAATCTGCATGATTACATCATCTTCTGATGAATATGACACATCAGGACACTTTTTAAAACCACATATAAAGATTTTATTAACCATTATTTCTCCAGGACACACCTGTAAAAAAAAAGAAAAAAAAAAAGACCTAGAATCAGGCCTGATTTGATCTTAAAAGAATAAGAGATATTTCTACCTTTACACTTATTCTGGAAACAAAGTTACTCTGGATAATTAAGAGATCAAACCCAAACTAATCTTTCATCCCATGTGCCAAGTGTTGACAGTGAGATCTGGACCTTCCTGGAAAATCAGGACAGAAATTCTGGGAAGAGATGTTTTAGTCTTTATAGTGTAGATTTTTGAACCCTGTTTGCTCTGCGGACAAAATACCCCTGACCTGTTGAATTCAGAAATTTCAGATATATAAATATCAAATATTTCAAAATACAAAAATATCAACAGTAAATTAAATTTGTCATGAATCGGTTTTAAAAGCATTTGTTAGTTTATCTTTTCACATTCATGCCTTTTCCATCTCGTTTCACTTTGTTTTTACACATGCACATTTGTTTTTGTGTGTGTGTGTGTGTGTGTGTGTGTGTGTTAAGCTCTGGCCAGCTGACGCGTTTAGAGGAGGACACTTCTGAATCACACAAACACAACAAGCACACACACACCTCTGAGATGACAGTCACCAGCACAGCTCTGGGCTCGTCGGCTCAGGCCCAGAAGAAGCAGGTGAAGCGTCGTCATCGCCACAAGAGGAGCAGCTGCACCGCCTCGGACTGCGTGGAAACCAACGGTAAACAGGAGCAGACCGACCGCAGTGACCGCAGCCTCAGCTCTGACCGCAGCGAGAGGGGGGAAAAGAAGGAGCGTTCTTTAAAGAGCCGAAGGGAGCTCCCACCTCGCCTCCGCTGCACAGGTGCCCAGCAGTCCGACTCCTCCTCTGAGGACGAGGCGGGGCGTGAAGCCCGCAGCTGGAGCAAAGAGAAAGCCCGAAGAGTGCGCCGCCGCAGCGGAGGCAGCCGCGAGAGGGATGGAGCGAACAGGGGTAAAGGAGGCGAAGACAAAACAGAAGTCATGGAGCTGCAGTCGATTGGCTCCGAGGAGGGGAAGGAGAACCAGCCTCTGGTGGAGGACTGTGGAGGCCTCAAGAAGCGGCACAGCAGCCGGGGCTCCACGAAGAAAGATGACTCGCAAAGTAGAGAGAAGGAGAAGAGTTACAAGTCACAGAGCCCAGAAGGAAGCTCTTCACTGGCTGAGGACGCAGAAGAGCTCATCACCAAGAGATACCAAGAGAAGGGGTCGGGGGGGGGAGACATGTCAGTGCCCACAGCACAGAACCACTGTGGTGTGAATGGAGACAAGCCACGACTCTACTCTGACGACTCTGAGACGGAGGTCTGCAGGTTAGTGGATGTTTGTATAAACTCGAGTTCATCCGTCAATATCTAAAATCATTAGAGATAGAGAAGATAGAAGAGACGCAGTCGCTGCACATATGTTACCTGTGTGTATGTTCTGTGTGTGTAGGATCTGCCACTGTGAGGGGGACGACGAGTACCCGTTGATAATGCCTTGTCGCTGCACAGGGAGCCTGAGTTTCGTCCACCAGGCTTGTCTCAACCAGTGGATCAAGTCCTCTGACACTCGCTGCTGTGAACTCTGCAAGTTTGACTTCATTATGGAGACATCGCTCAAACCATTACGCAAGGTACGCACGCAACTACAAATCTTTGCCTTCAACCTTCTTTTCATCTCGACGTCTGAGGTCATCTCTCCTCTCTGTCTCCTTCCCTGCATCTTCCAGTGGGAGAAACTACAAATGTCGAAGGGCGAGAGGAGAAAGATCTTCTGTTCAGTGTTGTTTCACCTGATAGCAATAACGTGCATGTTGTGGTCAGTCTACATACTGGTCAAGAGAACCGCTGAAGAGATCAGACTTGGGAAGGACGGTCAGTACTTTTCCCCCCACAACCCCCGTCACATACCAGACACATGCAGATAAAACTTTGAATCATGTTTATCTAACATTAAACTGTTTGATAATCAAAGTATAACTAAAGATTCAACTTTAGTCCCCAACAGGTTTTGTGTGGGAATGTTAGACCTAATAAACAGGCTGATGTGATTACACATCTGTAATCTCCTGTAAGACTCGAGTTTCAAGGGTTTTATTTGTCCGACGCTGAAATGTGCAATAAAACACAAGAATTTGAATAAATGTTAAAAACATGCTGAAGTAGGTCAGCTGTTTAATGTTAGCATTGAATAAAAAATATAACACACACATATATTTGCATTCTTGTGCTGTTAAAACACTGAATACAAATTATAAAAAAGAGAATTAAATGATTAATCTGCAGAATCAGTCAAAACCTTCACAAGGCACTTCCAACCCTTGTTCTCCTGTCTGTCTCTGGTAATGTGGGTAAAAACAGTCTGGTGTGATTGTATTGTACAGTTTGAATCTGCAGCAGTCGTCACTGTTTCCTCTGCACTTGACGTCAAGCTGACTGCAAAAGTTTCTACGTGGAAAAATGCATTGGCCTTTAACGGATCTTTACCTGCGTTGTGTTTTCACAGAAGAAACAGTGCAGAAAAGATCTATGTTTAAAATAAATAGGAAAAGTGTATTTTCTTATTTGAGTTCTATATATTTGATTGTTTTTTGTGTTTTCTTTTCATTTAGTTATTTATAATAAGGTTTATGGTTAAACTGTAAGCGTCTGTCACAGTTGACCACCCTGTAAAAGAACAGAGAACCCCTCAGTGCTTTAGTGTTCATTGTGAGGTGTTGTGTGTCGTGCTGTGATCCCTGTGTATTTATCTCATTATACTCTGACTGTTTGAGGCAGAAGTCAAACACTCAGTGACCAGTAGTTCATTGTTCTGTATTAGTTTAAATACATTTCACGATAGATCATCTGCAATAAATCCTGCCTTCATGAAGGTTCCTGTTTGAACAGATGTTGATTCAACAGTTGTTTTGAAGGATGTGTTTTCTGAACTAAACTTCGAAACAAGGGTTAGGATTAGTGATTATACATATGAACTGTATTTCTATAAAATAATATAAAAGCTCCTATAAATACATCAGAACATGTTCTTTTCAAAGTCAGCTTTATTGTCACGTTCCCAACTATCCCACAGTGAAGTCAAGACATTTTCTAACACTAAAGTAACTTCATCAGATTTATAAACAATGAACTTGACGATAGAATAAATACAATTCATTAAAAACTCCATTAAATAATAACAGTTCAGCAGAAGATCTTTAAGTTGAATCAACATCTTTTTTTTTCTTTTCACCTTCATGAACAGGGGGTTTATGTCATGACTGTTGTATTTAGGTGAATTTGAGATCAGTGTACCTAAATAAACTAGTTCAGTGTTGATCCAATATGTAGAAAACACTTTATATATTAACATTAATTATTAGTAATATGGTGGAAATTACACTCAATCTTGATTGCAGACGAATTATGGAGAATTTCTCTTCTGAAGTACTATTCACCACAGGGTAAGCACCGCACACACCACGGATCATGATCCACTACACCTGCTGCAGGTCGACTCATCGCTGCTGTGTGTGTGTGTGTGTGTGTGTGTGTGTGTGTGTGTGTGTGTGTGTGTCCTCAGGAGTGCTGGAGTGGCCCTTCTGGACCAAACTGATCGTTGTAGCCATCGGCTTCACCGGCGGCCTCATCTTCATGTACATTCAGTGTAAGGTGTACCTGCAGCTGTGGCGCCGCCTCAAGGCCTTCAACCGCATCATCACCGTTCAGAACTGCCCCGAGAAAGACCAGCACCACCCGCAGAGCCACGGCAGCACCCTCTCCAACGGCAGGCACGAAACCGTGGAGGTCCCGGTCAGCCCGGCCCCCGTCCCGGCTCAGCACGCACAGATGGACTCAGACATGTCAGTGGAGGCTGCTTTGGCACCGGCACAAAACCCCGTCTGACCTCATCTCCTGTCGGGCGGACGAGAGTCCTGAATCACACCATGCTCTTATAACTACGCTGGCGGCCGTGACCATGGTGCGATTTAGACTCGTAGGGTTTGTCCTCCTCAGCTCCTGTGATCACTGATCTTAAAACACGGCAGACTTCTCCTGTTCCTCACTGATCACAAACTTCAAAACTGAAGCAGCAAATGACACTGAAGACAAGGGTGAGGTGAGGAGACGTAAAGGAAAATAAAGCCATCAGGAAGGAAAGTGTGCAGAGACTGTGTGTCCGCCTGCTGGCTCGTGCTGAAGGTGGATGCTGTTTCAGATGGACGACATGTATGAGCTGTCCTGAACATTCAAACGCAGCCGTCACAGAGGTGAAGTTCAGTGAACTGTTCAAATGCAAAAAGCTTTTTCCACACGTTTAATCTATTCATAGTGTTACATCCATTTATATGTATGAAAACACATCTGGATTTGTGTGTAGGGGCAGATGTAGACAGTGGACACACACTAGTCTGTTTATGTCACACGTTTGTCGCTCACTTCACACGTGCACAGACGTAAAGACTTGATGTTATTTTCTGAAGCAGCCATTTCAAGTCTCCTCATTGTCGTTCACACGAGTGAAGAACTGAAAACAAGCGTTTGAGATTTACACACACACACACACATTTACATTTGCTTTGTGAATAAAGAGGATTTCTGATGCTGTTAAAAACAAAGGTTTTAGTTTGAAGCCTACTGACGTCTTCTCTCACTTTGGACCATCGGGTCTTCAGACACCAAAGTCTCTATATATATTTTATAACTAGAGGAAACTGTTTCTTTAGTTCTATCTAAATATTTGAAAATGTTATGTTTTTTGAAAAGTTATTTACTGGCAGGAAAGTTATGAATGTCTTAAAATAGTGAACCTCCAGTAGTGTGGTGACGTTTGTCTCTGACTGCAGTTTTACGTCCTCCTGCGACGTCTGTCACACATGATTGAATTCACTGTTTCCATTTGTTCACGTTTGACATTGGGTTTCAACTGTTTGTGTCTCAGTTTGAACGGAGGCCGTGAGCGACTGACTGAGCGTCAGTCTGCTGAAGACAATAGTTGTTTACACTCGTCCACTTTTCTACAGTTTGGTTTTTGAACCAGAGTCACAGTCAAGTCACAAAAATACAATTTTCTCTCATGTAGAGCACTCAACGTCTTTGTGAAAATAGTTTTTTCTATCTCTTACTGGATAAACTGGATTATTCAGGTTACACATGATGCATTATGTTTATGTAATAAACAATGAATGTAGACCCCTCACAGGCTGATGTTACATCATTTAAACAACCAGGAAATTTAGAAAAAGACAAACTGAGAGGAGAAGTTTCCATATGTGGGATGTTGGCGCCACCTCCTGGACAGTAGTGGAGCAGCCGCATCTTCTCACAAACAGTCTTTGCTGGAGGTGTTTGATGTAAAGTTTCCCAGAATTCAGAGAATTAGTCAGAGTCCGACATCTGATTCATCTCATCCCCCTGCTCGTCTTCCAAATCATCTTCGTCCTCCTCTTCTTTCTCTTCTGCTGCTGCTGCTGCTGCGTGTTTCTCTTCTTTCTCGGTATTTGCGTCCAGACCTTTGCTGGAAACATTTCGTAGTTTAATGTTTGGAAGTTTCTTCAGATCTCCTGTCCACTCTCTGTCAAAACAGAGAATCAGCAGGGGACAGTTTAGTAGAAAGCAGACGTTCGTTCATTCTTAAAGGCTGATGTGATGGTTTAAAACACAACACACTGAGAAAGAAAAGAATTCCGTTCAGAAGCAAAGCCACTTTAAGTCCACTGAAAATTCCAATGCTCTGAACATGAGAGCATGTAAATCTTTTCAATAAGAAGTTAAAAAGATAAACCTGACCATGAGCAGGAAGTGAAATGAAAAGAACACGTGGTCTTCAGGCTGTAGCGACACTGACAGTAAAAATCATGCACATTAGAATAATTTGGCAAAACATTGAATCCAGATGATCTGAGTTGATTTCACTCACCTGAACGTTTTCAGATGCTTTGTGTTGATGATGTCTGGGATCTCTGTGAAGGAGACGGCTCGGCGTTGTTATGTGCCCTCAAACAGTAAGTGTGTGTGTGTATATATATATGTGTGTGTGTATTTATACTCACCAAATCCCACTCCCTCGTACTGCGCTCGCTCCCGCTCGATGGTCTGTTTGATGACAGCCTCTCTGGCTCCATGGAGACGACCCTGACGACCTTTGATCCCGTTCATCAACTCGATCTGCTCCAGTTCAGAATCGAATCTTTGCAGGTACCTAAACATACAAGAACAAAATGTTTAAACATTAAAAACACCAGTGGCTTGTTTACATACAACCTCAACTGACTTAAGTATTTTAATTATGGTGATTTATATGTTTATGAGACACCACAGGGTGAGTAAAAAACAAACTGAGAAACACGTGATCGTCTGTGGGATGAATTTGACCATTTTATGATGAACAATAAAAACAAACCCAGGAAATACAGAACAAAGAGAAAAAGTTTCTGACCTCTCGATAACGTCACAAGCGTCTCTCCTGGTGTACGTCGTCTTCGCTGGATCCAACTGTTCCTGAAACCACAACAGTTTCTCACCTGTGAGTAAAGAGAAGATGATATGATTGATCTGGGTTGAACAACTGCAGCCAACAGAATCATCACAACATATTTTCAATGGACAAACAGATAAAGGAGAAAATACACAAAGGTCTGAAGGTTTGAAAATGAGATGTGCAAAAATCTCTAAAAGCTAAAATTAGAGGAGAGACAACAAATAACACAAAATAATATTGATATAAAAATAATAAATAAACAATTAAATGAAAAACTAGCACTAAAATGTTATGTCAGAGAACATGGTAGAAGACTTATGTTAGTATCATCACATCTGTTTTCTTCATATCGTCTGTAGGAAGATTGTGACTGTCTGACCTCGGACATAAGACACTGTCCTGTCTCTTCAACGAGCCGATATACAAGTATTCACATCTACCACTCAAAGTATAAAAGTTAGAAACCAGCTCACCAATGCTGCTCAGGCGTGTGGCTTTGTCAGTTTTCTGCCTGCAGAGAAAATAAATCATTTAAGTTCATGAAACTGTTTTTACATTTTCAGAAAAGATCTTTTTTTTTTTAATGTATTTGCTGCAAGATGCTGAAGTTTGTCTCAGACTCGGCAGTTAAAGGGAAAAGTTTAAATACTGAGCAACAGATTTTCAGTTTCCTCCAACTGCTGCTGTGAAAGAGAGTTAGACATTCATAATAAAACTTAACGCAGTTCACAAGCTATTTTAACTTGAGGGGAAACACTGCATTTTGTTTATAAAAGCAAAACAGGACGAACTAAAACCACAAACAGACTTTAGAACTCTTTCGTCCCCCTGGCCATCAGACTGTACAACAGCTCTCAGTGATGGCAGGAGGCACAATAGACAATGGACTCATCTCTTAGCACAACTTCCTGGACTCTCTGTCATTGCCATGTCTGACTACCTCTGCTACACGCTGCGACTGAGACTCTCATTCATTCATTCCATTCATCTGTTTACAGCCTAATTTAATAGCACGCAGTCCTTTATCCCCATTTCTCCCAATCTTCTACGGTCCCTTTATATTTTTAATATAGTTTATAGTTAC